AAGACAAAGAGAGAGACAGAGAGAGTGAGAGAGAGAGAGAGAGAGAGAGAGATGGAGAGAGAGAGAAGAGAGAGAGAGAGAGAGAGAGAGAGAGAGAGAGAGAGAGAGAGAGAGAGAGAGAGAGAGAGAGAGAGAGAGAGAGAGAGGGAGAGAGAGAGAGAGAGAGAGAAAGAGAGAGAGAGAGATAAAGAGAGAGAAAGAGAGAAAGAGAGAAAGAGAGAGAGAGAGAGAAAGACAAAGAGAGAGACAGAGACAGTGAGAGAGAGAGAGAGAGAGAGAGAGAGAGGAGAGAGAGAGAGAGAAAGAGAGAGAGAGAGAGACAGAGAGAGAGAGAGAGAGAGAGAGATATAAAGAGAGAGAAAGAGAGAAAGAGAGAAAGAGAGAGAGAGAGAGAAAGACAAAGAGAGAGACAGAGAGAGTGAGAGAGAGAGAGAGAGAGAGAGAGAGAGAGAGAGAGAGAGAGAGAGAGAGAGAGAGAGAGAAGAGAGAGAGAGAGAGAGAGAGAGAGGAGAGAGAGAGAGAGAGAGAGAGAGAGAGAGAGAGAGAGAGAGAGAAAGAGAGAGAGATAAAGAGAGAGATAAAGAGAGAGAAAGAGAGAGAGAGAGAGAAAGACAAAGAGAGAGACAGAGAGAGAGAGAGAGAGAGAGAGAGAGAGAGAGAGAGAGAGAGAGAGAGAGAGAGAGAGAGAGAGAGAGAGGAGAGAGAGAGAGAGAGAGTGAGACAGAGAGAGAGACAGAGACAGAGACAGAGAGAGAGAGAAGGGAGAGATAAAGAGAAAAGAAGAGAGAGAGAGAAACAGAGAAACAGAAAGAGAGACAGTAAAGTTTAACCGAATTTCTCGGTTTTACTGAAAAAAAGTATTTTTGACCGTTGGATACAGATCTTTGAAACTTATTAATGAAAAAAATCTTATTTACTAATTTATTTATCTGTTTATTTATCTGTTTATTAAGGATTTAAGAAACCTTACCTAACAACAAGCCGATTTTCGCGCCAGTCACCTTTTTTATTTGATTTTATTTATTTAGGTACTTTTATTTATTTCTTTAAATTATTTGTCTATTCATTTATTCATTTATTTTCTATTCATCTATTTATCCATTACTTTATTCATTTCGGATTGAAAAAACCTTACCTACTTTTTTCTCTCTCCCTTTATTTCTGTCTTTAATTATTTATTCATTTATTTATTTATTTACCTTTCAATCATCTATTTATCCATTTCTTTATTCATTTCGGATTCAAGAAACCTTACCTAACGTCAAGCCAATTTCCGCGCCAGTCACCCTTTTTTATCTATTTTTCTTTATTTAGGTACTTTTTAAAGTTTGTTTACTTATCTATTCATTTTTTATTTACCTTTCAATCATCTATTTATCCATTTCTTTATTCATTTCGGATTCATGAAACCTTACCTAACGTCAACCAGTCGCCCTTTTTTATCTATTTTTCTTTATTTAGGTACTTTTTAAAGTGTGTTTATTTATTTACCTATCTATTCATTTTTTATTTACCTTTCAATCATCTATTTATCCATTTCTTTATTCATTTCGGAATCAAGAAACCTTACTTAACGTCAACTCGATTTCCGCGCCAGTCGCCCCCGGGTCTTCGTCGCGAGAGGAGGCGCTTCGGACTCAATCACCATGGCCGGCCGGCGTTCCCTTCCGTTCCGAGTTCTCTTTTCGGCTTTTTTTGCGGTCGTTTGTGATGGGTAAGTATAGATCGCTTTCATCCACGTGGCCCTACGCACAGCAGCGGTTGTTGTCCGCCATTACGGGGTTCCAGATAAATGCGCGTGTTTCTGACTTTCAATTTACAATTAACGTTGCTGCTCGCGTATCGAAGGCTGGTTTAGGCGAGATTTTTTTTAGAGATAAGATAAAGGGGATGTTGCTTTGCTTGGTCGTTAATTGCGGTAAAAAAAATCGGGAAAGCGCGGTAGAAAGCAGAAAGAGAAGGAGACGGAGACGGAAATGGGCCTTAACAATGAAGAAAGTCCCGTCCTCTGTTTTTTTTTTCTCGAGTTCCTGTGCCATCGTTACAGAAGAAGGGAGGGGGGGGGGGGGCGAGGGAAGAGTAGGACTAGAGAGAGAGGAGAAGGCGATGGATCTCAGGCATGAAGTTAAGAGATGATTTAAACGAAAAAGAAACAGGTAAATGATCGAGTTTGTAACCTAGATCTTGCGTTAGGTAGGGCGGCCAGGAACGGGGGCAGGTGTAATGTTAATTGGGTATCGACACTGAGGCTTGGGCACGCGGGGAATCTGGGTAAAGATCATGCCGATGTTGAAGAAAGAGAGCTGCGAGGGTTGCAGGGAGGCGTAAACATGCAACCGATAATTGCAAACACGAAGTTCAAGCAAAGAGATTTAAGGAAGATAGGCCTACAAATGCCAAGACATTGTAGCCACAAAAGAAGCAACAGATTTGGACTTCAAGCGAAGAAATTGAATTTTGTGATGCTGCAACAAATACTCGATGAGCTTCAGTATTTATTCAAAGGCCTTGCCCTTTGATGGTATGCTTGCAAGCTTCTGAAAGCTTTGAATTGGGCCTTTGTGTAATAACTTGCATCCAGTGCGAAACTGCTTTCTGGAATCAAAGCATGGTTCTCAAACTCCTTAGTCAGACAACGATATTGTTTTCTTTGATTTCCGACGTCGAAGTGACTGATATTTTTTTTTCTTTCGCCATTAAAAACAACACGATGTGAAGAAAAGTGCAACACCAAAATGGCTTAAGCCTCGCTTTGAATAATGTCGTGACGTCACGTGAAAACGGTCTTTTTTTAAGGGGAAGGGGTGCAAGTGGGGGATTTATTTATTTATTATTAACATCATCATTATCATCATCATTATCATTATTATTATCATTATTATTATCATTACTATTATCATTATTATTATTATTATTATTATTTTACACGAATGGGTTTAAGGTTAAACTTGACCGGGTTGACGTTAGGTTAGATAGAAAGAAATTAAAGGTCTTGATTGCCAGTTCCCTTCTCTTTGAATTAGTCTTTTAAAGATTTATATAAATAATTTATGTTTTTTGTTTTAAAGAAAGACTCGGAACTTTTGAATTTTAAAATAATTCGGTAACGGCTTTTTCGTTAATTTTAGTTTTTTTTATTTAACTTACTGTTCATGTTTCATTTCCATTTTATTATTATTATTATTATTATAATAATTACTATTATTATTATTAGTTTTTCTTATTATTCTTTTTTATTATTTTATCATCCGCTGTCCTTCCTTGAAAATCGCAGTATTCTACACAATGCTATTTTTATTCGTAAACGATGATGTTACAAATACGCGGAGATTTTTCTGGAAATGACAGTTATAAGTTAGGAAGATTAGCGAAGAGGAGACACTTCATTTAACGTGTAATAGGTTAGCTTTTACATTATGCAGAATGTCCCTGGAATGAAGAGTATTATTTCGAATAATGCCGTAACGAATCACACGTACACGCACGTGCACACTCACACACACACACTCACACACACACACACACACACACACACACACAAAAAAAAAAAAAAAAAAAAAAAAAAAAAAACGCACACATACACGGACACAGACAAACTTACAAGTACACACGTGCACCGGTACCATACACGTGCGTGGTTCACTATTTTCTGGCATTCAACTCACTTCGAAAAGTAATGAAAAAAAAACGGTGAAAAGTTTGGAAAGACAACACACGAAAAGAAAGTCAATCTTGTGATTTTGTAGCAAACAGGAATGAAATGGAAATAATAACCCTATTTTCTCTCTCTCTCTCTCTCTCTCTCTCGCCTTTCCTTTTCTGCCTCTTTTCCTCCTTTCCTTTCCTTCCCCCATCATTGCATTTGTTCTCATTCCTTTCCCTTGTCTCCTCTCTTCTGTTTTCTCCCCATCTGCTCTCTCCCCCTCCCCTCCCCTCTCTTCTAACCTGTACCCTACTGTCCTTCTCTCTTTCCTCCACTATTCCTTCCTTACTACTCTCTTCCATCCTCTTTTCTCTCCTATCCCCCGATGTCTTTCCCATATTCTCTCTTCTCCAATCTCTTCCCTTTCTCTCCTCTCCTTTCTTCCTTCTCCTCCCACTTTCTTCTCTTCTCCCCTTTCTTTCTCCCTTCTCTTCTCCCCGTCCCCTCTCTTCTCTCTCCTTTCTCTTCTCCCCTCCCTTTTTCTTTCTCCCTTCTCTTCTCCCCTCTCTTCTCCTCTACCCCTCCACTCTCTTGATTAACTCTTCTCCTCTCCCCTCCCCACTTCTCTCTCCCTTCTCTTCTCCTCTTCTCCCCCCCTCACTCTCTTCTCCAACCCTTCTCTTCTCTCCTCTCCCCTCCCCACTTCTCTCTCCCTTCTCTTCTCCTCTTCTCCAACCCTTCTCTTCTCTCCTCTCCCCTCCCCACTTCTCTCTCCCTTCTCTTCTCCTCTTCCCCCCCCCCCTCACTCTCTTCTCCAACCCTTCTCTTCTCTCCTCTCCCTCCCCACTTCTCTCTCCCTTCTCTTCTCCTCTTCTCCCCCCCCTCACTCTCTTCTCCAACCCTTCTCTTCTCTCCTCTCCCCTCCCCACTTCTCTCTCCCTTCTCTTCTCCTCTTCTCCCCCCCCTCACTCTCTTCTCCAACCCTTCTCTTCTCTCCTCTCCCCTCCCCACTTCTCTCTCCCTTCTCTTCTCCTCTTCTCCCCCCCCCCCCCCCCACTCTCTTCTCCAACCCTTCTCTTCTCTCCTCTCCCCTCCCCACTTCTCTCTCCCTTCTCTTCTCCTCTTCTCCCCCCCCCACTCTCTTCTCCAACCCTTCTCTTCTCTCCTCTCCCCTCCCCACTTCTCTCTCCCTTCTCTTCTCTTCTCCCCCCCCCCCACTCTCTTCTCCAACCCTTCTCTTCTCTCCTCTCCCCTCCCCACTTCTCTCTCCCTTCTCTTCTCCTCTTCTCCCCCCCCCCACTCTCTTCTCCAACCCTTCTCTTCTCTCCTCTCCCCACATAGCTCGTTCCTGCTCACGATGCCCCTCCAGTGGATCGCCGGGGAAGGGAACCTCATTTGCATGCACCTCCAGAGCGCCGACTCCCGCCCAAACGACACCTTAGCTATCGACTTCGTTCACGTCTTCGTCAGGGACCCCAGCGCTTGCAAGGAGGGGGAGGAGGAGGGGGACTGCCACCCTATTCTGAGCAAAACGTTCATCGTCCAGCCGGGTCAGTGGCGGCGGAGAGGTGGTGTGTGCTTGTTTTTGGGAGGGTGTGCGCGTGTGTGTGTTTGTGTGTGTGTGTGTGTGCGTGTGTGTTTGGGTGTATGTGTGCGTCTGTGTGTGTTTGGGTGTGTGTGCGTGTGTGTTTGGGTGTGTGTGTGTGTGTGCGTGGGTGTTTGGGTGTGTGTATGCGTGTGTTTGGGTGTATGTGTGCGTCTGTGTGTGTTTGGGTGTGTGTGTGTGTGTGTGTTTGGGTGTATGTGTGCGTCTGTGTGTGTTTGGGTGTGTGTGCGTGTGTGTTTGGGTGTGTGTATGCGTGTGTTTGGGTGTGTGGAGGTTAGGCGGAAGGGGAAGGGGTTGTTAGGGTAGGGGGAGGGAGTGGGGTTATGTGCGTATTGAAAACACCGGGTTGTGCAGGAGAGGGAAGGAGATGAGAGTGTTTTACTTGTTATCGAAGGATATCTCAGTGAAACAGAGAGAGAAGATAAATTCAGCGATTGGAAGATAAATGTAAGTCTTATTTTCCACCACATGTTGCCCTAACCGGTATTCACAATGCATTTAATCAACCCTCAGGCCAAACGATGGCCTGCCAAGAAGTGATCGTTCCCCACCTCAGCGCCACCCGCCTCGACCTCCTCTTCGATGGAGAAATCGGCGGGGTTGACCTCAGTGCTGCCCTCGGGGGGAAAGAGGGACAGAAGGTGATCCGAAGTGTTGACCTGCTGACGAGGGGTAACGTGACCTTGCTTCAGACGGACAAGGTGATGTACAAACCGGGTCAGGAGGTCAAAGTTCGGGTGCTGAGTCTGCACGGAGCCGAGCTGCTGCTGGTCACGGAGGAGGTAAGGAACAAGGAAGGGAAGAGATAGGCGGGGGGGGGGGGGATAAATGGAAGGACGGAGACGGGGAGATAAGAGAGGGAATGACGGGCAGGACGGAAGGAGTGAAGTGAAAGCTAGGAAAGGAGATGAATACGAGGGCGAAAGGGAGAAGGGAGAGAGGAGAAAAGAGGGAGAGGTATACAGATGTAAGGGGGAGAGGGGGGAAATGGGGGGTTAGGTAGAAGAGAACGGAGACCGAGACACCTAACATATTGTCTCATAATCGATCATCATAATGTACACAACTACAACAAAAATACAAGTAATACCCTTTTTTTTTACAGTATCCCGAAATCTGGATAACATCGGCTTCGAAGTCTCGTGTTGCACAGTGGAACAACGTGGCCAACTCAGGTGGTCTCGTCCACCTGTCGTTCCAGCTGGCCGATGAACCCGAGCAGGTGAGTCGAGGAATAATCGAGATATATTTTTATTATTCATTTATATTCATTATTATTAAGATATATGACCTTTGATATAACACGTTTATTTGTTTTAACCATTAACCATCACCGTCATTGCCATTGTCACTACTACTACTATTAATGATGCTGATTAAGATAAGATGGTTAGGAGTGATAATAATGAGACTGATAACACTGACAACTCCTATTGCTTCTACAGTTTTATTGTCCTCTGTCATTTGTTGCCATTGTTACCATTGTCATAAATCTGACTTGCGTTTTTTACCTTTATAATTGCTTTATTGAATGTTGTCTATAATGTTTCTTTAATATTGGTTATGATTCCATGCATCATTCAATCCCTATTCCATTGATATTTGTTGATATTTGTCGCACTACAGTTATCCTACGATATATAATAAGATTTGTTTATATTAGTCCAATTTCTCTCCTGTTTATCCATGTATCATAAATTAACACTCAACTTGTTATGCCATTTGGGAATAGCATTTTTTTTCTTTCTTATAGTCATCCAATATTTTTTCCGGTACAGTACCATAACAAACTCCCTCACTTTACAAAAAGAAAAATATCAGTGTATATGAATATATATAGGTATGTATGAATAACTGTATATATATATATATATATATATATATATATATATATATATATATATATTTCCATTCTGCTCCTAGGGTCTCTACACAATCTCCGTGAAGAATTCTCAAAACGGTGTGACCCAGACGACGTTCGAGGTCAAAGAGTACGTGGTGCCCCGGTTCGAGGTCAAGGTCACCTCCCCGGCTTATATTTCAGCCCGAGACGAGACGTTCAGCATCGGCGTGTGTGCAGAGTAAGTGCTTACCCCCCCCCCCCCCCCCCACCACCCACCCACATACACACACATGTACACATTCATACTTACATAAATGCACATGAAGGGTAAGATACTGCCCTGTTGTTGCTTTGGTAGAAAAAACACAATGTACAAATGAGGTATATTGTAAATGAGGCAAAAGAAGAGGAGAGGGAGAGAAGGGGTGTAGGTAAGACAAGGGAGAAGCAGTTGAGGACAAGCGAACGGAGGCGAGGAGAGGTCAGCTCGATGGATCAGGCGGTCTGTTTTCACACACACACACACACACACACACACACACACACACACAGACTGTATAGTGCGGCCACCTGTCCTCAACCTGTTTGCTTCCTTCGCGACCACCAGAGGGCGCTTGCGGGACTCAGTGTCGGGAAGACGTCTAAGCGGCGATGCTAATTCTCAAGGTTGTGATCAGTAAAGAATAAAAAAGCACATGCAGTTTATACTTTTTTAAGACTTTTATCTGATGGTGTCAGATGAGACGCGACTGTTCATTAGGATGCATCGAAAATAATATATGATTGATATGATATGTGAAGCATGGTCATTTGTATTATACAATTTATTCAGACAGTAGGTAGGGCACATTAAATATTAAAATGTCAACACTATGCACACACAAATAAGGATTAGCCTAGGCAAAAATCTAAAATGGCCGCTCACCTGGTTATAAAGACCACTTGTCAATAAACACAATGCCTCTCGTTTTCCCAGAACAGCCCTTCTATACATGTATATCATTGTGTATATATACATACACGCATGTAGTATTTACATTTTTTTTCTATTTTCATCTCCTTACGGTCTGCAGGTACACTTTTGGGCAGCCGGTACGAGGCAACGTCACTATCGGGGTTTCCAATGAAAAGAATGGTCGATGCCAGACTAGGCTTGTGAAAACCGAGGAGGTGAGTCTTTTCAAAATTCGTTCCTCTTGTCTGACTTTATTCATTTATGTTTCTTTTAGTTTTCGTCGTTGTTTTTCTGCGTTTGTGTTGCTATAGATATTCATTTTCAACGTATGTTTTATCCTCCGTTTTTTTATTTATTTCATGATCTTATTTATTTCCCCCTCTCTTGTTTTTTGTATTCCAATGTCTTTCTCAATCTCAGCGAAGACGTTTTTTAGGCAATGGAGTGATGGCACAAGTTTCCGGCCAGCTAAGAAAAAATGGTCTTTTTTGCTTTATATCTTTTTCCCGGTTTCTTCCACTTAGAAATGTGATTTGAATACACAACCAAGTCATTAAGGCTCAAGAAAGCGTCCGGGAAATTACTCCAAACATCTATTTTCCGGACACAGTAATCCGTTTCCGTCCGAACCCAATTTTAGTTCGGAAGTCAGAAGATTATTGAAATTAAGAGAGTATAGTTACGCTCTTTTGACCTAGAATAAAAATCCCAGTAAATTCGGACAAATAATAAGGAATTTGTGTTCACTTAAACTGGAAAATAATGATAAAAGTCTCAGTAATTCCGACTAATGCTTTATTTTCTTTCTCAATGACTATGATTTATGACAAACTAAATCAGCATTACACACTCTTGTTACAAACATATAAAAAAAACTCTTAGACTGTATATTGGTGCTAATTTATTACAAACTTCACAGGCCTGAAGTCAATAATTTAGGCACAAGGATATTTCCTATTTGTAACGAGAATTTCATTGATTTTTAATAGATTTGAAAAATATGAATATTTTTAAAACAATGATTTATATAATTTAAACTATGTTGATTTTCTTTTAACAATCTCTCCAATAACGAAAGCTATTTTTTTTCTGAGTACAGACTTTTCACTTTAATTTCAATCCAAATGATCAGTCTTCATTGACCCATTCAGAATAGTTATCAGACAATGCATTCATTTCATCTTTCCTAACAAATGCCACATCCTGATTTTTTCCCGTTAGGTGAAGAAATAAAGATTTATTTCTTTAAAGAAGTCTATTGTTGGCTTCCTCTTCATCTGCACGGAGAGTTGAATATTTGACTACAGGATAAAAAAAACCGAATAGTTTATGAGCGCCGGACGGAAAACCCAGGCCACTACCCTACCCTCCTTACATCACATTCACTCTACAGAAACCCACTCCCCCTCCTCCATCTATCTCACCAACCCACCCGCTTACAGATCGCCGGCTGCAAGGACTTCCAGTTCACAACAGAAGAGATGCGTGTCATAGACTGCACTGTCCGAAACGTGGCTGCCGAGGTCGTTGTGGAGGAGGAGGGAACAGGTGTCAGGCAGACGGGGAGAGCAGACATCTGGATCAAGAACCGACAGTATGAATTCGAGACTGTCTATAAAGACAAGTACAAGAAGCCAAATTTGCCTTACAAGATAAAGGTTGGTAACGTTGCTATCAGTGAGGGGGAGGGGGGGGAGAAGGAGGGAGGAGGGGATAGGGAGAAGAGAGGGAGAAAGGAGAAGGGGGATGCGAGAGAGTGAGGGAGGGAGGAGGGAGAGAGTGAGAAGGAGGGCGAGAGAGAGAGGAGAGAAGGAGGGAGATAGAGAAAGAGAGGGGAGAGAAGGAGGGAGATAGAGAAAGAGAGAGAAAAGAGAGAAGGAGGGAGAGAGAGAGAGAGAGAGAGAGGAGAGAAGTAGGGAGAGAGAGAGAGAGGAGAAAAGGAGAGAGAGAGAAAGAGAGAGAAGAGAAGGAGGGAGAGAGAGAGAGAAGAAAAGGAGGGAGAGAGAGAGAGAAGAGAAGGGGAGAGAGAGAGAGGAGAGAAGGAGGGAGAGGGAGAGAAAGGGAAAGGGAGAGAAAGAGGGAGAGAGAGTCTTCCTCCCTCCCTCCCTTTATCTACATCCGTATCTATTCATCCTGTTGCAAACCCTCAATATATCTTTCATCTTCCCTCCTCCTTCGAAAAACAAGACAAGGCTGACCTTCTTCAATGGCACTGCGGCTGAATGGGTGCCAGTGGAGGTGTGCGCGGCGGGGAAGTGTGCCACACTGACCACGGAAGAGGATGGCATCATTGAAACTGTGATCTCGGCGAAATATGTCGAAAGTATTAAGGTGGGTGTTGTTGTTATCATTACTTCTTTGCACCAGAAAAATAATTTCTTGTGCACTGTTTTGATATCATTATTAATTTCATCGTTGCTGTTATTAATCTTAATACTAATGTTATTGTTATTTATATTTTTATTGTTATTGTCATTGTTGGTAATAGTAGTAGTATTTATTATTATTATTATTATTATTATTATTATTATTACTATTGCTGTTGCCATCATTTTATCGTTGTTGCAATCATTATAAATTATGCTATTATTATTATAACTATTATTGTCATTATTATCATTATTATTAATATCATAACTATTATTTTCATTATTATCAATATTATTAATATTATAACTATTATTTTCATTATTATTAATATTATAACTTTTATTTTCATTATCATTATTACTAATATTTTGTTAATATTATTGTTGTTATTATCATAATCATTATTATTATTATTGGTATTATGAATATTATCATTACTATTATTATTACTACTATGTTGTTATTATTATTATTATGTTAAGTTACGTCTATGGAGGGGAAAAGGTAAGATAGGATAGAGATGTATGTGTATTTACTGCCATTGATTTGATTACGTTTTTGTTTTAGTATTTTAATGCATGTTAATATCAATTAATTATACTAGCATATCAGAGAGAGAGCGAGAGCGAGAGCGAGAGTACACAGAAGCTCACCCTTCCCCCCCAACCGCAGATGTCAACCTTGAGTGCTCGAGTCGACATGCATGAGGCCTCCCTCGATCTGTACGTCGAGCCCTTCTTCTCGCCTTCGAACTCCTCGTTGGCCATACAAGCGCCTGGAGGTCAGGTGAAGTGCGCGCCAGGTCAGAAGACGAGACTCAATCTCCCTGTGTTGTTCTCTGCCAATAACCAGTCACGGGCTAGTATCCACGCTCAGGTAAGACGGCTGGTGTCCTGCCGCACGGTCTGGTTCATAGTTAGGGGAGAGAGAGAGAGAGAGAGAGAGAGAGAGAGAGAGAGAGAGAGAGAGAGAGAGAGAGAGAGAGAGAGAGAGAGAGAGAGGTCAGCGTAGACTGTCCTTTTGGCCATAGAGTAAGACACCATTTTCCATTTTTTATATGCAAAATTAAGATCCTTCCCCAAATTATCGTCAAAGGCTGGTTTCTATTTGATGAGTAGTCCTACTCAACTATGCTTTGTGATTATGACCATTCAAGTTTGACCTCATTCCCTTCATTGGTTGAGCGTGAGTGACGAGCACAGACCCCGATGTGTATTTTCGCGAGTTCCTCCCTTGGCGGAGGCCGTGTGCTTGCGTGCGGGCGTGCACTGTATGTGTGTGAATTATAATACTCTATGACCACGGTACCCATAAGCTGTGATTAGAATTCCTAGCTATAGATAGAGCAGTGATATACATAAGCCAAAGTTTATGATTCAATTATGACACATTCCTCTCCTCAGCCATTCACCAGCAAAGTCCAGACGAGCATTTCTCCTTCAGATCGTGTCTCGCGGAAAGATCCAGAATTCCTGGACTGAAGAGGTGTCACTGAACGCGAGCGAGCTGCCCATCAACCCGGACCACCTCATCGACGCATCGCCGCCCACCAACCCGTCGCCGCTCATTGTCACGGGCGTATTCAGCCTGCAAGTCGTTCTCCCACCCACGGCGTCGCCCGAAGTCAAGGTGTGTAGGAACCGACGGGAGGAACATGAGGAAGCATTCGTGTGCGTGTGGCTACTCATCAGGCGTGAATGAAAAGAGGAATGTATGTGCATGGTAGCGGGGAATGTAGGAGGAATGCGTGTGTATTTTGTTTGAGGGATAAATAAGTTGGTGGATGTGTGCTTGTTTATGTGCGTTATATTTATGACAGCATGTCCTTGGAAAAGTATACCATGCAGCTATAAATAACATTAAATAACACCACCTCTTGATGCCCAGCAAATTACTCCAGTGTTTTCTCGCCTTTTCGTATCAAGTATTTATCTATCTATTTGTCTATCTACCACAGCTCCTGATTTGGTACACGCGGGACGACGGCGAGGTTGTGTCCGACTCGGTCCAGCTGGATGTGGAGAAGTGCCTCGGAATTAGTGCCAACCTCGCGTGGTCAGAGGCACGGGGCCAGCCGGGGGAA